ACTGTAAACAAAACTGACAATTTTTTAATTTTTTATTTATTTCATCGGCATAAACCTCAAAAAAGAAGTTTCACAAAGCCGCGAAACTTTATTCATAAACAGTATTATTGAAATGGCTACTTTTGGGTTACTTTTTAGAGAATTTTTGGCTACAAACACTAAAAACATCTGGCAACACTAAAAACATCTGGCAACACTGGTTCGTTCTTTTTTTCGTTTCCGCTCAAACTTGACTTATGACTCTTATTTTTATTTGTGAAACAACAAATTACATTATTTTTAAAATTTATTAATAGTTGTTTCTTTTTAAGACAAGTAAGTAAATACATGTCAAAACAACCTCCCAATAGTTTTTTAATTTTTTAAATTAATATATTTTACTATATATATGTTTAATTAAATCAGGGGTCTGAAATTGCAATAAAAAACGTAATTTTTGAATAATATTAAAAAATATACGGCCAGCTAGTATTCACCCTACTTTAAACCCTTATCCTCCTGTAGATTTTATGAGAATGTTCCGCAAAAGACCCAGCTGTTCTTAAGGTCATCCAGCTGTAAACAAAATTACTCATCGACGTCAGATTTCGCAGAAAGGCGAGACAATGGAAGTTAAACTTTGAAGCTTTCTCTTCAAAATCAACGCATTTCTTTCGTTTTTTTTCAGTTTTAAGTATTTTTTATGNTAAAAATATTTAAAAATATACGGCCAGCTAGTATTCACCCTACTTTAAACCCTTATCCTCCTGTAGATTTTATGAGAATGTTCCGCAAAAGACCCAGCTGTTCTTAAGGTCATCCAGCTGTAAACAAAATTACTCATCGACGTCAGATTTCGCAGAAAGGCGAGACAATGGAAGTTAAACTTTGAAGCTTTCTCTTCAAAATCAACGCATTTCTTTCGTTTTTTTTCAGTTTTAAGTATTTTTTATGTCTAATTACATTAAAATTAAAAATTGGTTGTTACCAAGGGAGTTAAATAACTAATTACAGTATTGTCAATTTACCCGTCAGCATGGCTTCTACGACTCAACAAAAAACAGTTTCTAAGAAAAGGAAATATATCGATGAAAGAAGGTTATTTAATGAGAAATGGACAGAGGACTATTTTTTTCTTGAGGTGAAAGGTGAGGCACTCTGCCTAATTTGTCGTGTTTCAATACCTGTCTTCAAAGAGTATAATTTGAGAAGGCATTATGCACAAAAACACGNTGGCAATAGTCAAAAAATGTTACCCGAGATTTTTATACTTTTGGACTTGGGGAACCTTGATACATTGAGAAATGCAAAAAACTTTGGGGTGTTTTCTGTATGTATAATATTGGGTATGTATAATATGTATAAAATTTGGGGTGTTTTCTGTATGTAAATGTTAGTACGTATGGGAGGTATGATTTTGTTCACCCTCTTTGAAGCTTAATAACTACTGTTCTTTTTGTCAAAAATTTCTGAAATTTTGTAGGGAGGTTAGTGTATTAGGGGGATTGATACTATTAACTTTTGGTGGTTAAAGGTCGCGGGGATGGAGAGATAAAGGAGGTTGTAAGTCATATCAAGAAGGGTCAGACTTAATGACAATTTTCCTCATTAGCATTTACAATTTTTTTTATAAAACCCATCTTTACTTTCAAAATTAAGCTTTTTGCCATTTTATAATAATTAAAAATATAAAAAATTTTTAATAAATATTACAGATGCACACATGTAGTATTAAATGTTGCTGGGAAAGTTAAGCAACTCATTGCTGAATTTTTATAAATCTCTCTTCATCATCTGTATGAGTTTAGACAAAGAAACCTATTTTTCTTACTTTATTTTTAAAAAATGGTTGATGAATTTACACATTAAAAAAATACATAGAAAAGACTAAAATATGTTGATTTTGCCACACTGAATCACCAGGAACAACAGTCTTCCTACAGCCACACCTCCACAAAAATATTCAAAAACAGTTTAAAAAGTTCACAGGTGACAAGCCACAATTAAAAAATACATAATTTCTTTGAAACTGTTTTTGCATATTTTTGCATTGGCATAGCCTCTAATAAGAGGTAGTCTCTGCAAGGAAAGACTCTTGTTCCTGATGATTCAAAATAGTGAAAATCAAGATATTTAAGTTTTTTCTACAAACTTTTTTAAAGAAATCAATGTTTCATAAAATAAACTGGTTGTAATTAAAAATTTGTGAAAATTTTTGACCATTAGACTATTGGAACAGTTGGGTATGAGTGTGTGTGTTATGCTAAATCTGCAAATGTTGCCTATTTTGTGAAATCAGCATTTTATATTTTCCAAGAGCAAAACAAAACTAACATTTGTTTTGCTATTTGAATTATGACTTAGAAAACATCAGTTGAAGTTTTATTTTAATATTGCTTCTTACTTGAAGATTACTTAATTAATGATATTTTATACTTTTTGATGATGCTTATTTATACATTGTAAGATTTGACAAATTTAATACAATAAAAATGATAATTATGTCATATTCAGTTCAGTTTTCATCAACAAATTGACAGAAATAAAATTAATATAAATGATTTTGATTAATAATTATTTTATTGCTTTTTATTTTATATTAATGTAAAAAAAAATACATCTATAACATTAAAGAACTAATATTACTTCTAACATCTTAATAATCAAGGAGATTAACCACTTTTCAAAAATTACTTCCAAAAGCTCATCTTTTATCAAACAGAATCTAGTACTACAAATAAAAAATAAAATACAATAAGAGATATTGATGTTTAGAAATGCTAGCAAGGTGAGTAAAATATTAAAAAATTATTCTAAACTAAGAAAACTGTTATGTATTGGATTTTTAAGTTAGTTTTTGTATTTTGAAATTGACGGTAAACACAATATTATTAGCTGACAATTAATATAAACAGCCAAGCCAAGTTGTCCCCAGTTGGTATAGCAAGTGACCCATATGGTTACTTCTTAAAATTAACTGGTCTGGAAGCAAAACTCAGACCAAAGTTTAAGCAGTGAAACTGACAATGCATCCACACAATAAGAAGTAGCTAAGGGTTTGAGTCCTACTCTGGATTGATCTTTTCCAAAAGTCTAAATTTTATTTTATTTAAAAATTACTGTAAAATTTAATACAAGATGACATTTCAAATTACATAGTATTGATGAAATGAATTTGACAAATACTAGCTCAATAGTTAATCCAATCTTATTATTTTATCATGACAAGTTAATCTGACTAATAGTCATGAAATCTATAATGTTGACAAAGAAGAGAAATGAAATGTTCCCAATAGTCATTTTGGCAAAGGTTGTTGAAAACATTTAAAAACTGATTTACAAATTTTTAAAAATTTTTTAATCATATATTGTTCCTTTCACAGAATATAAATTAGAGTAAAAATTAATTAACTTTTACTCTAATTTATATTCTATGGGAATTATAATCTAAAATTTACAAATTACAAACTTTACAAATTTTAAAAATTTCTGCTGGACTATTATTTTCATCAGACAGGAAGTAATCTATAAATGAAATATTTCACCATTGAAAGAGATTTACATTTAGGACTAACAAAGTGATGCATACATCACTTTATGTTAGTCCTAAATGGTATGCTACCATATTAATTAAATAAAATTGTTACTACATTTCTTTCTTCATTGGAACAATTGGTTTGTTCTTGCCCCTCAGGAGGATGACTTCATTTTCCCTTAGCCAGTTTCTGCTTTAATTTTATGTTTCTCCATAACCTTGCATTGTAACTGTATTGCATTGTAAGAAGTAACTTATATCTCCTTTCTCTGGAATATCAGCTATATTTCAATTAGAAAATTCTTGGAAATTCTGTAATTCTGCATCTGCAGGTATATAGGAAAGCTACTGACAGGTAATTCAACAATCCAAAACTATGGTTTAATTATGTTTATGTATGTACGTACGTATGTAATTAACAAAATAAACATAATTAAACCATAGTTTTGGATTGTTAAATTACTGGTAGCTTTCCTATACACTTGCAGACACAGGATTACAGAATTCTCAAAAATTTTCTAATTAACTTATATCTGTCTAATGTTTATGCCATGTTTTGAAAAATAATATGCCCAAATTTTATAATTGCTTTTAGATTTTTAAGTTTTAGTTTTACTAATGAATATTCTTTAATTAAATAAGTAATTACTTGTTGTGACATTGTTGGGCAGTAATTTTCATCATCATTTAATTTATAAAATTCTGACTTCTGGGCCAGACTGGAAGTTTGTACTGTATATAGTTAATTGGGTGTCTCTGGTCCCTAAGCCTTCCATATCTGGTCTCAATTTTCATATAGCTAACCTGTTTTTGAGATTAACAGAGCATGGGGAAAGATGACAGTGGAAATTTATAGGTCTGCAATTTGAAAATGCAGCCCAATTGAGATATTGTTCAGTAATTTCAACTTAACACCATATATTTTACAACTGATATTTTTCTATGTAATGTGTATTTTTTTTAAAATTATGATGAAAGGTACAATCAATGGTTTAATATTTTCATATCAATTAATAAATAGTGTAACTGTACAGGTTTTCATTCAACGACGAATGAAAACCTGAGGATGGCCTATCCAAATAGGCTGAAAATGTTTGAATAAAGAGAAAAAACTCGGCAAATAGAATTCAGGTGTGTTCTTATTATTATGATACTATAAACATTACAAATTAGTTTTTAATTATATTTATATTTCATTTAAACTGTAGGTTATACTTTAATTGTAGATGACAATTACTGAAATTTTGTATACAATTAACAAAAAATAAGTTTTTCAGAAAAAATATTTTTCTAATAATTTTGAAACTAGTTATCAATAAAATGAAAGTTCACCTTTCATTATGGTTTTTTTTATATAAAGAAAACTTTATATATTTACATGTTTCTCAACAAATGAAACCTAAAACAGACTTATAATGCCAATTACTAATACAGTTACCCTATAATAAAATTTTATGGAAAACAATCAGAAAGTTTATTTACTTACTCTTTCAAAATCATCTCTTTGTGGCATATAACCCAATTCTTGCTGTTCTTGAGAAGAAACTTCTGGTATTGACAAAGATGGAGAAGTTGGAGATAATAATCCTACAAAAACAAAATTATACTTTGAAACATTCTAAAAATAATTTAAAAAGTAACCATAATCTTATATACCTGTTTCTAACACTGTATGATCTTGGATGTTAGGTTTCGTGTGGCAAGACCAAGTTGCTAAAAATGAATAAGTTAATCAGTGTTTGTAAATTGTGAAATTATTTTATACAATATACAATGTTCAAAACTATAATATAATAATCACCTTGTCCAATTGCTCCCAAGATATACATATTATTATAATGCTCCTCCACTTCTGTAATAATAATGAAAAATAGTTACTGTAAATTAATCCATACTTAATTTTATAACAAAGTTCCTGCTAAATTCTTTACAAATATCACAACAGTAAATCATGCAAATAAATTATTGTGTAAGATTAATTAAAATTAACATCTAATGACAAAATGTATAAATTAAATCAGAATGCAATGTCATCATTTATATCCAAAACTTTTCAAATCCAAGTCTTGGATTTGAAATGTGGAGTGGAGGTTTTAGCTTTGAAGTTTTTAAAAAATGTCAGAAAAAGAAATCATTGTTTATAGTCTGCTGCTTAATTTTTAGCTATTGTTCAAAATTCTAAAAAATTAAATTACCATTTTGAAATTAAAAACACACATAAATATACAGCATATTTTTGAATGTTGGTTTATATTCCATGTTGGTTTATATTCAGAAATATTGCATATTTCTGAATATAAACCAACATGGATTCCTAATCTCATTAATTATGAATGAATTCTGCCATTCTCAACAGTTGCTTAGAGCACAGAAAAGATCACTAATGCCATATTACTGTCCCTATCACAGACTAGGCCTATCTAAAAGGTAATGTGTGATAGGGACAATATTCTTTTAGATATTCCTGAAATGATCTGGAGTTTAGCATAATATTAGTAAAAAAAAAAACCAAAACAGCAAAAGTACTTCGAAAGTCTAAAATTTTCAGTCTCATGGAAAGAATAATTTGAAAATAAATATTCAAAATCTTAACTGTAAATAAAACAAGTAAAATAAAATATATGCCATTTTAATATATTAATAATTACATAAAAATAAACAAAATAGCTAAAGTAATGTTTAAGTGGACTATGGTTTCAACAGATTTGATGACACAAACTTTCAAGAATTAGGGAAGGATTCTCTAATCCTGTTATTTTCCTCACGTGTGTGAAAGGACAAGCGATAAGACACATTTTTGTATTGTCTATTTAAGAATTTTCTTAAATTTTGTAAATTTTTTATATATTACTAGTTTGCATATCGTTAGCATATATTATTATATGCTAACGATATGCAGAGTGTCTCTTGTGTTCAAGTAGGTGCTTCAAATTTTTGTTTAAATATTTCAACATTAATAAAACTAATAAACAGCCAGGATGGCATTACATTTAAAATTATGAAAAAATGCTGAAAAAATTTTCATATAAATTTAACAGAAGAAAACACAGGGCTTCTTTATCTTTCTTTGTCCTATGTCCTTTACACACCTCAGGAACAAATAGTCTTACAGCAGAAATCAACCTTTTATTGTAGATTACACTGGATAAAAAAAGATGAAGCTCTGTGTTTTCTTCTGTTAACTTCATGTGAAAATCTTTCAAAAGAATTTTCATGTAAATTTTAAATTAAATATTTCAGTTTGTTCCATCATTGCAACATAAGTAGAAAGCATGGCATTTCTTAAACCCTTAGCTTTTTCCCAAAGAATCTCTACATTCTTGGTGCTAGCATAGCAGTTTTAGCGTAGTGCTGGTCTGACTGGTCCAGGTGTTATATCTGTGCTTATATAATCTTGAGGAAAACTTTCTGCTATAACCTACATCAACAGTATTCACTTTCAAGAAATTATACATAGTGGGTATTAAGTAACTCTCTGTTCTATATTCACCCAAAGTCTTATTTTTATTATTCCTTCACAGCCAGTATGTTATGGAATTATGTTTGTAAACGACTCTAATATGTGATGTAGCCAACTCTTTACGTACTGGAACTATACTTTCTAAATAATAAACTTTGCAAAGTCTTTTTGGAAGGTTGTATGTGCTAGATGCATAGACAGGAAAACTGAAAGTTTGAGAATAATGACAAATTGTTTATCTTGTAACCAAGTATGGTTGTTATCCTGCATATCCTGTGGCGTTTCATATCTTTATCATCATTTCTGTTGCAGTGAGTTTGCACTCTTTTAACTCCAGAGTTCAAAAGACTGATATCTTGTAAAAGAAAAGACTGAGAGAGCTTGTTGGAATATAAATAAAATGGATGAAAATCAATTTAATGTAAGCACTAGTGTAAATTTGTCCAGTCCTTAAAATCAGTAAAATATCAAGGAAGTAGATGCATGCCTTACTTTTTAATTCCAACTTAAGGTGTAAACAAGTGATGAGCAACCTTTTTTGATTGTAGACTGTAAGTGAACTTTGTAGGCTTCTGACAAGCTGCATGTATTTTTTCTTATGGAATTACAAGATTTAAGCCACACATGGAGTATCAACACACTCCACAACTTCCAGTATACTAGTACTAAAATAATATATGCTAACGATATGCAAACTAGTAATATATAAAAAATTTCTGTCCTGGTAAATTTTTATTCTCATCTTTTTATTACTCATTTAGTTTGAATGTTCTTCATCATAAATACCAGATTAGTGTTATATAATGGCAGGAGGCAGAAAATAGAAAAATAAAATTATGTTGCCCAGGAGCCACATATCAGGACTTGCGGGTCACAGGTTGACCATGGCTAGTGTAGACCAAGAGAGTTTTGATAAATGCAGTTAATGAAGTTTTCAATGATATCCTTGTTTCTTCATATTATCAAAATATTGTCAATATATCTCCAATATAAAATCCAATCTGATGCAAAAGAAAGTAGACTGGATTTCTCTACTTTTCTCACTACTAGTTTAAATAAAAAGAACTACTGCTATAGGGTGTTCCATAGGCACTTGTTTTTTCTGCCAGTAAAAGAACTGGGTATTCCACAAACAATGATATGGTACATTTTAAGAAAATGACTTCATATGAAGCCTTACCACATAGACCTGCTTCAGAGTTCAGAGCTTAACAGTCAATAATCCATCTTTATTGAGAAAACTGATTCCTGATGGGCATAAGCATAAACTACACATTGTAATGTATCACATAATAGAAACTAAAGAGATTCTGATTATATTTGAGCAAAAACAATAGCTTAGTGAATTATAAAGTAGACATAATAAGTTTGTCAAACTCTAACAATCATTGTGAAATACCCAGTACATAAAACTCCTCTAATAGTAAAAAATTCTTTCAATTTTTAATGCTCCATAAAATCTTGGTTTTTTGTCCATGGTCCTGAAATAACAAAGACATAAAGGGAATGAATCCCAAATACTCATTTATAATATATAAAATACAGAAGAAACTAAAACATCTTCCTTTCCATCCTGTCCAATCATCAGTTTCTTCTGTATTTTATGTATTGTATACTGTCTACCTTTTTAATTCAAATTATGTATATATTTTTACAATTTTTGGCTTATCAACAGTAAATTTTTTAAAAATGTGTTTTGCATAATATTGCATAGGCATAGCCTCTAATAAAAAGTTCTCTCTGCAAAGGAAGACTGTTTTAGTTCCTAGTGATTGGACAGGATGAAAAGGAAAACATTTTAGTTTCTTCTGTATTTTATATATTGTAAATATACTGCCTGCCTTTTCAATTAAAACTTATTTATTCCCTAATTCTCTTCGGCAGCCATTCTTAAGTGGAGCTATTTTAAAACCTGTTCATATATTCCGGAATTTTAATTTTGATCTGAAAATTGGCTAAAAACATTTATAAATAACAAATAAATTTTGTTACATGATTGTAGCAGTGTAGGCCTTGTAATTCAGTAAAATTAGAGTATTACATTATAACACATATAAGAAAATTAAATTATTGATAATGAAAACAGAACATAAATTAAAATCATCAACTATTATATTTCTATCACAGCTACAATACACAACTACAAACATTATATACAATAAATAATGTTAAAACAGTACATCACAAAATCAATGACACAATTTTCCAATAAAATTTATTGAAATATTTTTGCCTTTTAGAATATTGATTTTTCTACTAAACAAGCCTTCAATATTCTAAAAAATAAATTTTATTGTTTATCATCAATTTTATAACGCATCATTTCAGCATTATTCATTAGTGTCAAAAATACTGAAGATTATAATTGCTACAATGAAGTATATGGTGAATAACAACCTTTAAACTAGCAAATCAATAAATTGAATAAATAATAAATGTAAGGCTTGGCACCATTTTGTATGTTTCAAGAAGAACAGTTATTTAAAAAAAATCCAAAACAGTTTAAGTAAAGGAGAAAGTACATTAACTGAAGTTGGTCCAAACAAACATTTCTCCTTTATTTAATCTTTGGTTTCCTTAAATAGCTGTATTTTCTTCTTGAAATAATAAATATTTTCAGTTGCATTTATCAGTCATCTTTAGATTTGAACAAAAACAAAATTACTAGTTAAAAATAAATTAAGTTTTATGAATGTTTCAAATTAATACACTGTGATATGATCCTAATTTTCTGCTCACAACATCCAGTTTATGTTTATATAAAAAAACTTTCATATCATTGTATTGTAGCCTTTAGATTTTATAAAACTTCAATATTCAATAATCAGTTTTCATTTGAATTAATTTCAGATTGCATACTTTCTAGGATACTACTATCTTTAAGTTTCTGTATATTTTTCCAAATTACTTTTCATGTTTTTAACTATAAAATATTGTCATTTGCATTAGAAAGTTCACAATGTTTCCATATTCTTTGATATATATTAATATTCTTGAATATTCTAAATTAACATATAATCACTTTTAAATTTCAATTTTGTGATATTCTGCAAATTATCTGTAAAAGGTAAACATTTTTTTAACAACTAATTCAAAACTATTATCTATTTCCTATTATTTACTTTGAAGCAAGTTATTTTAGTTTTTAATATCCTTTTTCAACAATTTATTTGTTTGTTGTTGATTATTCTAATTGTTTGACCATGAAATAGTAAATGAACAGTTATCCTTTAATGCTGAAAAGTTAAAAAAACTTTTTAGCTTCATTTCTTTACTATTTTCATTGTAATTTACTGAATTATCAATTTGGGTAATTCCTCTTGTAATATCTACTAAACTGGTTTCTTATAATTGTATCCCACAATAAAATATTTTTAAAATTGATTTTACTGTGTTGTGCCTGTATCATTATCAACTTGTGAAAATATTTTAAAAACTCAAAAAAAAAAAATAATAATAATAATTACCATCAGCAGTTTTTCCATTTACACTTTCTGCTATATCCTCCCTGAAAAAAAAGCATTCTTTTTAATTTTTGCATAAATGCATTTAAAGATAATATTCATTTATATTAATAATATTATTGTATATGAATGAATATTATCTTTAAATATAAATAAATGATTGATGCTATTAACTTCT